ACTACATATAATAAATGTCTGGAGAGAGCAAGCTCATTGTGCCAGCTGTGCAGTCGTAGAATCAGTCAGTGAACTAATTAGATCAGCAATGCAACATTGCAGTTTAATTGGAAGCACATGTTCTTTTGTCACAAGGGACAGCTTGTGTCCTGCAGGGTGTTATACAATGTGCGTTTGTGTTTTCTCCCAGGTGCCCTGTTTGCCTTTGTTGCCTGTGTGGAGAGCTTGTGCTTACTGGTGGGCACTGGCCTCTTTAACTCCCTCTTTCCAGCCACACTGTACTTTATGAAGGGCTTCACCTTCCTTGTTGCTGCTGTCATCCTTCTCATCCCTTTTGGGATAATCGGGTGAGTCTGCTTTTGTGTCATTAGGTTCATTCAAGATGAACTGTTCCAAAAAAGCGAACAAAAGTTGAAAGTCAGGAGTAAAGATAGACAGTCTCTAGCAGCCGTCAGTCTGTACGAGAACTTACAGAAACAATGATTTATTCAAATGTTGTCAGACACCCTTATTAGTTTGCATGCAGATAGTCTTTATTATGACAGGGCATCCTAATAAAATTCTCCACAGGCAATTTATGATCTGTGTTGGTGTTTCAGCCTCAATTTGCTGCTGCATATAAATCAGCTAAGCAAATCCGTCCTTCTCAAACTACATAACTGAATTGTCTAAACACAATATTGGCATGTTGGATATTTTTCCAAGCTTCACTGTACAGATGTTATTTAAAGAATCCTCACATCCTTATCAGAAGCTTTGGGTTGTTAAATACTTCAAGAATGAAAACAATCTGACACAAGTATACAGTAGATTGTAACCATATATTGTATACAGTTTTTGATTTTATAATCTGAAATTCTTCAGCCTCTCTAACATCACCATCAACTCACAACATGCATTCTGTTCACAGAATAAACCCTCACTGTCAGACATATAAAACTGAAATCTCTCCAATTCAGTTAAAAAGTTTCTATCAAACATGTCGTTGTTAAGCCAATTTCTAAACGACATAAACAACGACTTGGGAAACGACAAAATATGGAGATTTTTTTAAGTTGGACCCCTTATGGCGCCTGGTTCCAAAAATCTCAGGATTTTGTCATCAGTGCAGCATCTTGAGTCATAATGAAGTTGGACAGAAATCTAACCAGCATGCATTGTGTGATGATTGCTGGTGATCAAATTTATGTCAGTGTGGCTCATCTTGAATGAGCCTGTTGACTCTAAAAAATAACAAAATAGTCATCATTTTCATGTTTTTCTTTCTAGGACCCTGCAATGTTTAGACCAGAGGCGAAACCAAGGAGACTCCACAATGTCCTGACCTGCAGGGAGGCAGAATCCTGTCAGAGACTTAAATCTAACCTGGTGTGAATGTACGAGGTGAGCTGGTCTGACACAGAGACGTCCATCAGGTCTTTCTGTGATGCTGGGACACACTTTTGATCTTTAACAGTGATGGAACAGTTGACGAGTTCACCAAAGTGATCAAGACCGAAGGATGAGGAATCAACCTCCTCACTGAAATTACTGCGAAACCTTTACCATCATAACAATGAGATGGTTGAGGTTATGGCTTCATCTCATCTTTGCTGGCCATAAAAACTGATGTAGTGTTTAATAATTTTATAAAGACGTTCATAGAAAATAAACAAGTTTTGGTACATTTTTTTGATGTTGTTATTTAATCTTTTTTTTTTTTAAATTCAGCATAAGTGCCAAAGACTTCTATAGCAACAATCTGACGCAGGTGTGGCTCCTGATTGCAGCATTTATTAATAAGTGAGACACACTGGACACTAGGAGTATAAAGAATCAAATCGATTTTAACTTTAAAGATATGAATACATCGATCAGCAAGCGTCTGGATCAGTTTATATCTACTGTGGAGAGGTCGATGACCGGTTGTAAAGTTATGAATCAGTTGATTGGAGCTCTGCTACTAAATATGGCTGCTCCAGTTTTGTGAGACTCCCGCTGTGACGAGAGTAACGTTCGCTTAGCGTGTTTGGTGGCAACAACACAACAGCACCGGTGTCCCAGTTTAACTGGCGATGCATGCTGTATTTATGCTTCAAATGTTCCGTTTGCAGATTCGTCACGACCAGACCTCCATGTGTGAAGATAAAGATACTACATGAAGGAGACCTTGCCAAAAAACACAAACATCACTCGTTAATACAGTCTATATTCATTTCAATATCATCTACAGACGGCAAAATGAAAAGTGCTGACCTAAATAAAAAAACACATATTTTTCAAGTTCAGTGAGACGATTTGACACCATGTAGTCCAAAAAATACAAGGTCGCCGTTCTACGCATTGTGCCACCGATCAGCTCGATTAGAATCCCTTTTCATTCCTATAGATCTTTTCCACTGTGTCATGTGTTTAACACCTGGTGATTATTCAGGAAACTCGCTCAGATTAACTGCTGATAGTCACAACATAACACAGACATACGCTGCCTGTTTAATAGCGACACACAAAACTATTTATTGTCTCACCAAGCAAAACTCACAACACAGAAGCACGTTGTGTTGTGTTGTGTTGTGTGTTAGTGTGTGCATTTAGTGTCAGAGATGCAGAGCAGAATTTGAAGATTAACTCGAGTTTGCTCGCAGTAACACACACAGCAGCCTCTAACCACAACAACACAAAGCAGAACATTAGTTTGGTTTGATGAAATGCATCAAATGAAACATTTCTCTTCAATTTTTTTCACCATACAAATAGATTCAAGCTGCATCGCATCGAATCGCATTGTAATGTATTAAAATGTTCCGTTAGTGAATCGTATCGTAACTCATGTGTCTAGATTTGGATCGGATCGTCTCTTAAGGTAGAGATGCACACCCCTACCGGACACTCACTTGTTGTTCCTCTCTTGCAGTGTCACCACAGATGTTCACTTATAGAAAGTAAATGAGGAAATAAATCTCACGCTAATTATTTCTTATGAACAATATTTTTCAAATGTACATGAACAAGTGAATTCTGACACACAAAAGAGTCAAACATATCTGGTCAATCAAAATGCAGTTTGCTGGAATGTCACACTAAATAATTCAGCGTGCCATACTGTATGATTGTTTCTGTTTCATGTAATGTGACAAAAGGGACAGTAACTACAAGTTTCACTGTTTGTGAAGGATGTATTTGTCTGTTTGTATTGTTTGTGTTTATTG